ACTTTATGGGCAAAATGAAACCACTCCACTTGTTAAACAGATCGAATATAACAGGAACGGTGGCTTGTTGCGTAAAGTTCCGAAAATGTAGAACGACGGTATCTTTTTGAAAAAGATACGTAGGCAATTCTGTTGACTCAAATACAGGTAAGGCTTTTTGGTAGCTAATGTAGCTATATAAATGGCCATTGTAGCCTGCATGCGGACGTCAGAGGTCCTTCCTGCGAGAAATTTCCTTCCTGAAGCAGGAAGGAACTGTACAAGTGTCTCCTTACTTGTTATGTCCGGTTAACGGTCATTGTGCCAACGTTTTGCCATATCGGTTTTGTCACGTATATAACTGCGCAAACATAATGTAAAATGCAAAATGCCAACGCCGTGATTCCAAAAGGCTGTAAACATTCACTTGAAACAGAGCCAATCGTTAAACATGAGGCAGCGTTAAAATATCTTCAAGTCACACGCATAAATATCTCAAAACTTCTTAAGTCTTCATCTGATCTCCAGAGATCGGTATTCATAGCTACTGAAAAGCAGTTGCTTTGAAACGTCTGGAAATTTTTTCTTACTTTGGATACTAAAATTAGTTTCCACCTAGGGATAGAACTTTTTTACTTTTTTTTTTTGTCATTATATCTGTATCTTATATCTCGTTGTCGATGAAGAACTAGGCTTAAAAGTCAAAAATGGAGGCCTGCCTCCCAAGCGAATCAAATTTTTGTCTTTAAAATTAAAGCTACCCCGAGGCAAAAAAGAAGCTACTTGAAGCCTACTCAACCTGAACTGCCTTCTGAGTGTTACTTAAGAAACAATACGACTTAATATTTCAATGACAAAAATATAAGAGAGTTTTTAGACTTCAGACTGAACTGTTCTAATGGAAGAACGGAAAGGAAAGAAAGCGGAATGAAAGTGCTAAGCCAACACGAAAGTGAACCACAGAAGTTCTTACAGAGCTCCTTAATATCCTGACTGAAGATGAACCAACTGAAATACTGTTTCTGTTGAGTTTGCATTAGTTAGACGCGACTTCAAACCACAAGTATGCAACAAACAGTAAGTCGTGAGAATAATTAATTGAGATAATCGAGGCGTGAAGTGAAATAGCTTACCATGAATATCCGTTATTGGTACGAGTATTAATTATTCCTTTCCTGTTTACGGAACAATATTTGTCAGTCATTTTCTATAACAAGTATTAAGATAAATTTTACTACCTAAATAAATCTACGAAACCCTTAGCCTATACACTATTTCAGAGACCAAAACATCTTAATCACCGTTCCTTTCTNAAAATGGTGCGTCAAATGACGATTTTAACGGAATTTGGTAATTTGCATATTTCTTTGAAATAAAAGGATATTTTGTCAAAAAACTATCTAGTAGTTTTTGTCATGCCCTAGCTTATCTGCGATGAAAATATGAGCGAAATCAAATTTCCGACCCTTGCCGAGTTATTTTCCATTTTTATGGACAGGGACTCTTACTACCTAAAAAAAACTATGAAAACCTTAGCCTAAACACTATTTCAGAGACCAAAACATCTTAATCAGCGTTCCTTTATGAGTGATGCACAAACGTAGCTTACTTAAGGTGTTATCCAACTGAAAGACAACAGCGCAACAACTGACTTCAGCAGAAGCTCACGGAATAATACTTCCAAAATAAACCATGTTGTTGCACTCGCGCCGCCTCTCTCCTCTCAAGGTGTATAAAATTAATAGGTTGATACAAATAACTACAGACAATGCAGAAAGAAGACAATCGTCCGGTTTTACTTGGATGTAGACTGCAGTTAGCTCTTGTTCCTCAAGTGTTTTCCGAAATAGTAGGAAGCATACAACTCTCTCCCTAAGGCCCAGCTAGGACTCACCAACAACAAAGAGTTGACCCGTCTTCAGTTCATGACCGTAATTATTAGACTTTCTTTTACGAGTATTAAAATGTTATTCATGGTATCAGTGACGTGTTCGACAAAACTGTTTGTTGCCGCAAATGAACGTGTTATCTGTATTGGCATTGCGGTAGGCATTGCGAAGGATTGGCTGATGGCGAAAATCG